TCTGGTACGTCGACGCCGTGGGAGGTTGCCAGGTGGCTCAACCAGGTCTGGCATCCGCCCTTTGAGTTCAGGAACAGGGCGCCGATGGACGCATGCTTGGCTACTGGCAGAATCCTGAGTTGCGTTGTGAATGCTTCCCACCAGAGGACGGGATCCTGCTGCGTGTAGTCATCCAGGTTGAAAGTTGGCATCTTGTACATCTTCGGATTGTCGTCCGCGTTCGTCGACTGCAGCTTCTGGACCTCGGTCTTCAATGTATGCAGCTRACTGCTGATGGTGGTGGTCGGCGCAGCGAAGGTGCTGATGTCGTCGAGCATTGCCACTACGTGGTCAACGCGGTCCTCCAGTTGGCGGCTTGAGGGTGCACTGCTGGAAGCTCCAGCAGCTGGTCCTGGTACAGCCTGTTCCAGGTCCAACAATCGGGCATTGAGTGCCCGAGTTGCATCCTCGTGGCTTTGCACTGTGCGGCGGAGCGTCGCCAACTCCTGATGCTGTTGCGTCAGGTCCCGGTATTGTCTCTCCAACTCTGACCGTTGGTAGTTGCAAGCATACAACAACCGCGTCACGAGTTTGGAGAGGAACTCCTTGTGCTTCTCTTCCGGTGTTGCCTCGTCGCCGTTCGGTTTAAAATGCCAGTACTTGAGTTTGTCGATGCTGTTGGCTTCATGCCGCTGCACCAGATCCTGGGCTTCCTTGCGGCGAGCCTGGGCATCTGCGTCTGCGTCGGCCTGTAGCCGCAGCTGTTCTGCTTCTGCTGCCTCTTCCGCCTGTATGCGGGCAGCCTCGACTGCCAGCAGGCGTTGTTCCTCAGCCTCTATCTGAGCCAGGCAACGCTGCTTGTAGGTGGCAATGGTCTCATTGGCCAGTTGGCCTGGCAGGCCCGTCATGTTGCTGACGTGGCACTGCTGCTTACGTGGCACTGCTGATGTGGCAGTGCTGCTTACGTGGCACTGCTGATGTGGCACTGCTGACGTGGCACTTTGTCTGACGTGGTACTGCTGACGTGGTATTTCTGACATCGCACTGTGTCGGAGGTCACTGCTGACGTGGCACTGTGTCTGACGTGGCACTGCTGTCGTGGCACTATGTTTGACGTGGCAATGTCACCTGGCACTGCTGACGTGGCACTGCTGACCTGGCACTGTGACGTGGCACTGTTGACGTGGCACTGTGACTTGGCACTGTGACGTGGCACTGCTGACCTGGCACTGTGACGTGGCACTGCTGACGTGGCACTGTGACTTGGCACTGTGACTTGGCACTGTGACGTGGCACTGCTGACGTGGCACTGCACTGTAACGGGATGCATGCAAGGGGTGGGTGGGAGGGAAAACGGAGGGAGGTAACCAACCCAACAATACTTTCTTCCTGCCCTGATCAACAGATAAAAAAAAAAAAAAAAAAAGAAGACTACTTCCTTTTTTTTTTTTTTTTGTATATATCTGTCGATTTATGATGAGTAGGATATGTCAGAAGAGTACCGTGAACGAGGTCTAGGCTAGGTGCCACAAAGTTTTGGCATTTACAAACTGCGATCTTGAAAAAAAAATTTGCGAAATGGAGTAAAGATGCGATTTTCAGAAAAGAACGAAATCCAGTTTCTGATAATATAGCAACCTCCGAATATGCCTAACGCAATATTGGTAGGCTTCGCAAGATTCGGTTTTCAAAAAAAATTTGCGAGATAGAATGGAAATGCGATTTTCAGAAAAGAATAGTTTCAGTTTCCGAGAATATGACCACTATCGTTATCCCAATATGCCTAGAGAACGAAAATACTAACTTCAGAAATTTCAGCTATGTATGCGAAATATCA